CTCTTGATGGTTCTTGAAGATGGAAGCCAGAGTATGAATGTTGGTACCATTATTGAGGGCCTGAATGGTCAGTTGGGAAGAAGATGGAGCTGACACAAATGTCTCTTTCTAGCGGATTAATTCAAAGGGTTTTTTCTTTTTTCAGTGATTCTTACGACAAATGCTGTCAAGATGGCTAAACGCCTTGTCTGAAAATCTGGGAAAAAAGCTCAATTAATTTACTGTTGTAAACATTTTGTGGGATGGACAATTACGCTGTTATGCGATTTGAACAATTTTACTGTTACACACGGTATATAAATAAAACAGAAAATATAGCTACTAATAAACAGAAAGAGAGATGAAATTTCTAGGATATATGCAGAGAAAAGAAGACCTGGAGAATTTAACACTCACGGGACATAGAGAGAGCAAGAAATGCTGGAGGAAAGGCCGAGTCACCTACTTTACGAAAGTGAGTGGATTGATGGCAGATTTAACGTGAGTCAAATTTTACTGAGAAAAACAAAGGATAGGAAGCTGTGGAAAGACATGACCAATAAAGTCCAAAAAGGGCAAAGCAGATAAAGGAAAATAGAATAGAATTTTTTTTTTTTTTTTTTGTTTTTTTGTTTTTTTGCTGTTAATCCTAAAGTCGTTTACCGAATGAGCCACTCTCTTCACTGTCTTCTGATTGAAACGTTAATCTATATGTTTGCGAGTAAACGAGAGATGGATGACAAGTTACTAGTCATTTAGAAAAGGCGGGAATTCATCCATTTGGAATGGCGAGTGGACAGCTGGGCGTCAGACCGCGCGGCCCAGACCAGCCAGGAAGGAAAATGAAAAACGACGCAAAAGAAAACATCGATGATGTGTCAAGGGTAAAGGATGGCTGTGTATGGTCGGCCATTGTTTGGGGATAAACGATTCGTTTGGGTCGGGCATCGATTTCTCGCTATTTTAGCTTTATCACCTGTTCCCGATTCATTGTTTCTGAGGTGAGTCGGTCAGAACGAGGTACGGGAAAGGCGTACTTCCTTTTCACGACTGACACTTTACCGGTCGTTTTTAAACTTTCTATTTTTTCCCGCTCTGTCTCCGTTACTCGCAACGCCAAGCATTGGTGTTAAAAATGGAGGGAGAAAACAGACAGAAAAAGAAAAATGTGATAGGCGAAATAGTGGCGGAGGTTAAAAGGAAAATGTTTGTGGAAAGGGGAATATCTTGAAGTACAAAAAAGGAAAGGTGAGGAAGATAGGTAATTCTTAAAGAGGAGATACGGTAGAGTAATGGATAGCGGCTCGGATTGAGAAAATCAGAGAGCCGAGTTCGAAATCCAGTCGGATCCATTACATTCACTTACGTGCTAATACGCTTGGAAAAGTTGAGAATCCTCTACTTCTCCACCATCTATGGGTAAATAAAGTAGGACAGTCCGGGAAAAGGTAACTCTAAATTCAAAACTGTATATATCTACTATATACTGTACGTATGAACACTAATGGATATGTCCCAATCCTAATAAATACGTTGGACGCTATTGTAAGTGGGGGAAATATGCTGTAGCAGTGGTTTCCCTACTTCACGCCGCTGACGAGTATTTTATTTTGTTGATGTTATAACGATTACCATTTCATTGCTAACCTCCGTTTTGGTCATTCCTCATTCAGTAACAATTTCTAGGTTACAACACTATCAAATGGCACTGGAAAGTGATTTTATTATGAAAATGCATTGGAAAGTGGTTTCACTGAAAATGCATTGGAAAGTGATTTTATTAGGAAAATGCATTGGAAAGGGATTTTATAATGAAAATGCATTGGAAAATGATTTTATTATGAAAATGCATTGGAAAGGGATTTTATTATGAAAATGAATTGGAAAGGGATTTTATTATGAAAATGCATTGGAAAGGGATTTTATGAAAATTTATTCGAAAGTGATTTTAATATGAAAATGTGTTGGAAAGTGATTTTATTATGGAAATTCATTGGAGGGTGATTTTACTATGAAAATGCATTGGAAAGTGATTTTACTATGAAAATGCATTGGAAAGTGATTTTATTATGAAAATGCATTAGAAAGTGATTTTACTATGAAAATGCATTGGAAAGGGATTTTATTATGAAAATGTATTGGAAAGTGATTTTACTATGAAAATGCATTGGAAAGGGATTTTACTATGAAAATGCATTGGAAAGTGATTTTATTATGAAAATGCATTGGAAAGGGATTTTACTATGAAAATGCATTGGAAAGGGATTTTATTATGAAAATGCATTGGAAAGGGATTTTATTTTTAGGGATTTTATTATGAAAATGCATTGGAAAGGGATTTTATTATGAAAATGCATTGGAAAGTGATTTTATTATGAAAATGCATTGGAAAGTGATTTTATTATGAAAATGCATTGGAAAGTGATTTTATTATGAAAATGCATTGGAAAGTGATTTTATTATGAAAATGCATTGGAAAGTGATTTTATTATGAAAATGCATTGGAAAGGGATTTTATTATGAAAAGGCATTGGAAAGGGATTTCTCTTTGCCTTATATTCCGTACGTATGAACACTAATGGGTATCTCGCAATCTTCATAAATACGTTGGACACTATTCTAAGTGTGGCTGGGGTGGGGTAACATGCTGTCTACGCTGGTAGCGTGAGCTGTCAGCGTGGGAAGCTCTTGCCGTGTTGAACTCTCTGCCTTCGGTCAGAGAGAAACCCGGACGAGGCTATACCGACGGGCAATGTCTCTTCTACTGCTGGGTCTACGGGCAATTTTTGCCCGACTGGTGTAATTCATAATCGTAGAGCCGAGTTCCAATTTCAGTTGAATTCGTTATAGTCCCTTACGGCAAAAAAACTCTAGGGAATGTCATACATTCACCACTTCTCCCTCCAGCTATGGGTTAATTAGTAGGATTTGTATACGTAAATCATCATTACCACCACAGAAAATCTTCAAAAGTGTTCCTAAGCCATAAAAAAAAATTAATTAATAATTATCTTATTCCTTCTATTTTTTCTCACTTTCTCGAACGTCGTGGGTATGACGTTAAACTACGTCCAACAGCAGGGCCTCTGATCAGGAGGTTTTGACAAGAGTGTCACCTGTTAAGGTGCCAGCTATGGGCAAATAGTTAACCCTCAAACTGGGGACAAACGCTGTGAAAATGTAAAAACAGGTTTTAATACAAGCAATACGTTTTAGTTAAGAAATTACCAGTAATAAATTTTTGAAGAAAAATTATTCCAGCTATATATTTTTGGAAAAAATATTAATAGTAATAGGCTTTTGGTAAAAAATATTGCCAGCAATGCATTATAGAAAAAAAATACCGGAAAAAGCGAAAATAGAGAGCGTGTAAAAAGCGAAAATAGACAGGGGTGTAAAAAGCGAAAATAGAGATCGATGTAAAAAGCGAAAATAGAGAGGGGAGTAAAAAACGAAAATAGACAGGGGTGTAAAAAGCGAAAATAGCCTGTAAAAAGCGAAAATTGAGAGGGGTGTAAAAAGCGAAAATAGAGAGTGGTGTAAAAAGCGAAAATAGAGAGTGGTGTAAAAAGCGAAAATAGCGTGCAAAAACCGAAAATTGAGATCGATGTAAAAAGCGAAAATAGATAGTGGTGTAAAAAGCGAAAATAGCGTGCAAAAAGCGAAAACTGAGATCGAAGTAAAAAGGGAAAATAGAGATCGTGTAAAAAGCGAAAATATAGACGGGTGTAAAAAGCGAAAATTGAGAGGGGTGTAAAAAGCGAAAATTGAGAGGGGTGTAAAAAGCGAAAATATAGACGGGTGTAAAAAGCGAAAATAGAGGGGGGTGTAAAAAGGAAAATAGAGAGGGGTGTAAAAAAGGGAAAATAGGGGTGTAAAAAGGGAAAATAGAGAGGGGTGTAAAAAGGGAAAATAGAGAGGGGTGTAAAAACAAAAATAGAGAGCGTGTAAAAAGCAAAAACAGAGGTCGATGTAAAAAGCGAAAATAGATAACGTGTAAAAAGCGAAAATAGAGAGGGATATAAAAAGCGAAAATAGAGAACGGTGTAAAGTCGAAAATAGAGAGGGGTGCAAAAAGCGAAAATAGAGATCGATGTAAAAAGCGAAAATAGAGAGGGGTGTAAAAAGTGCAAATAGAGAACGGTGTAAAAAGCGAAAATAGACAGGGGTGTAAAAAGCGAAAACGGTGAGAGACCTAAAATGCAAAAATAGGGACGTAAAAAGTGAAAAAAGAGAGGGACGTAAAAAACAGAAATAGAGAGGGGCGGGGTAAAAATGCGGGAATAAAGAAGGACATAAAAAGCGAAAAAAAAATACACATTTACATCTAAAGAAAAGAAAGAAAAATGGAGAGAATAGTTAAAGAGAAAATAATTAAAAAAAATGATAGGAACGAAACAAAATTAGGAAAATTGTGCTAAAAATGACTGCACTTTAAGAATTTTGAAATAAAGTACGAATGACAGAATTTGATAAAGAAAGAAAGAAAAATAGCAGAAGAAAATTTTAACCAAAAAAGAAAGAAACGAAGAAAGAAACAATAGCAGAATAATATTTTAACAAAAGAAAGAAAGAAAGAAAGAAAGAAAGACAGACAGACAGGAGAAGTATAATTTTATCAAAAGAAAGAAAGAAATAATGCGAGTAAGAGGTATTTTAGCAAAAGAAAGAAAGAAAGAAAAGGAAGAATATTTTAAAAAAAGAAAGTAAGAAAAAAAGTAAGAAAGAAAGAAAGAAAGAAAGAAAGAAAGAAAGAAAGAAAGAAAGGAGAAGTATAATTTTATCAAAAGAAAGAAAGAAATAATGCGAGTAAGAATTTTAGCAAAAGAAAGAAAGAAAGAAAAGGAAGAATATTTTAAAGAAAGAAAGAAAAAAGAAAGAAAGAAAGAAAGAAAGAAAGAAAGCAATTAGGAGATTATATTTTAAAGAAAAAACAAAATGACGTTCAACTCAACTACCGGGAATTTGCTTCCTGCCAAACGACGATCGAAAGAAACAGTTTGTTGATCTACGACTTTCAGATGGAGTCAAAAACCGAAATCTTTGCCTTTCCCCACGTCTTTGCTATCAAGTCTACTTTCACGCACACTGCCGCATCCCATACTTTAATCTCTTTTTCTTGTTTTTATCTTCATTTGTCTCTTGTTGTCCCATCCATCAAAATATCTCATCTATCTTTCCACTTCTCCGAATCTGCGGCCATTGTCCACTTTGCCGCCTTTGGACAATGCAACATTAGCTGCACGCAACCATCTTTCAGCCGTAATCTCCAACATATAACACTCTTTCTTTCTTCATATTTCTTTCTTTCTTTCTTTCTTCATATTTTTCTTTCTTTTTTGTTTCTAGCTTCATATTTATTTTTTTTATTTTTTGCTACATATTTCTTTCTTTTTTTGTTTCTTTCGTCATTTTTCCTTTTTGTTTCTTTCTTTCGCCATTTTTCCTTTTTGTTTCTTTCTTTCGTCATTTTTTCTTTTTGTTTCTTTCTTTCGTCATTTTTCCTTTTTGTTTCTTTCTTTCGTCATTTTTCCTTTTTGTTTCTTTTCTTTCGTCATTTTTTTTTTTTGTTTTTTTCTTTCGACATTTTTTTTTTTTTGTTTCTTTCTTTCGTCATTTTTTTCTTTTTTGTTTCTTTCTTTCGTCATTTTTCCTTTTTGTTTCTTTCTTTCGTCATTTTTCCTTTTTGTTTCTTTCTTTCGTCATTTTTTCTTTTTGTTTCTTTCTTTCGTCATTTTTTCTTTTTGTTTCTTTCTTTCGTCATTTTTTCTTTTTGTTTCTTTCTTTCGTCATTTTTCCTTTTTGTTTCTTTCTTTCGTCATTTTTTCTTTTTGTTTCTTTCTTTCGTCATTTTTCCTTTTTGTTTCTTTCTTTCGTCATTTTTTCTTTTTGTTTCTTTCTTTCGTCATTTTTCCTTTTTGTTTCTGTCTTTCTTCATGTTTTTCTTTCTTGCTTGTTTCACATTTATTTTTTTTCTTTCTTCTTCTTTCTTTCTTTCTTTCTTTTTCTTTCTTGCTTAACATTTTCGTTTTTCTTTCTATTTCCTTGTTTTTTTCTTTCTTGCTTATTTCTCATTTTCACATTTCTTTTTTCTTTCTTCTTCTTTCTTCTTCTTTCTTTTTCTTTCTTGCTTAACATTTCTTTTTTATTTCTTTTTCCTTGTTTTTTTCTTTCTTGCTTATTTCACATTTTCACATTTATTTTTTTTATTTTTTCTTCTTCTTTCTTTTTCTTTCTTGCTTAACATTTTCTTTTTGCTTGTTTTTTTTCTTTCTTGCTTATTTCACATTTTTCTCTCTTGATTTCTTTCTTTTTTCTTTTTTGTTCAACATTTCTTTTTGCTTTCTTTCTTTTTTTTGTTTCTTTCTTTCATATGTTTTTTTTCTTTCACTAATTTTTATTCCTCTTCAATTCTTACTCCATATTCTTTAATCTTCCCCGGTTTTTCTAGATTTGCTTTTCTTTTTTGCTAGTGAGCATTTTGTGTCTGCCTTGTAGTGCTCGTGTGTTTAATTCCTAAAAATTGTAATGGGAGGAAATGGGATGGATGTGCTTGTACCTGTGTGCATCAAATTTCTAGTTGACCTTGCAGGATTTGGTGATGGCGGTGCGTGTGTTAACCACGAGTTAAATGTAGGCTATTAATTCTATTATGAATTTTATAAACGTTTTCCTATTTGCTCCTTATTTTATCACTTAATCCATATTTGATTTCAATACCTATACATATATAAAGGACAGTTGTCTGTATGATTTTGTGTGTGTATGTGCGTATATGTCCGGCTAAAACTAAAAAACTACAATAATTAATGACTAAATAAATATATATACAGATTCAGTATAACCAACCCCCCACCAAAAAGAATCATCTTATAATTTGTTTTGCGAAGATATCTTAAAATTAAAAATACGTAATGCAATTTTTGCTATGTGAGTGTTTCGACATTCCCAGAATTGAAATGTAAAATCGAACAGGAATAATTATTATTCCGGTTCGTATTTACTTGTTAATTCTGCTGATAATTTCGATGTATTTTTAAATGTCAATTCTCTTGAATTTATTTCCATATTTATAGTTATTAAAAGCGTAACTTAAAAAACAATGAATATTAAAACAACAGAATGAATATAAAAGAAAGATATTAAATACAATTATTTGAAAAAAGTAATATTTATTTATTCAAATATTCGAAACAAAAATTATAAGAACACAACAGAATAAATTCTCGTAGATACTAGGGTGGGGCGGGGGTGGACTTAAGTAGCTTTAAATACAATCAGATATTCTACGAACATATAAGTCACTTTTTTCGATATTTTTAATCGTGAAATTTTTAACTGTCTTTACCATTTTATTGAAATTAGTACTTTTTAAAAGTTTAGATATTAACTTTTTAAAATAAATGCAAACATGCTGAGATGGTGTTATAGTGCAACACACCTATTCTATTGTTAATAGACTCTCCCACCTATAATAAGTAGGAGTAGTAGGAGTCGCTCAAGGGGTCGGTCAGTCAGTCGACCGGCTGATCGGTTGAACTCTCTGCCTTCGGGCGAGGAGGAACCCGAAAGAGGCTACGCCGAAGGGCGGATTCTCTTTCGGTGAGGTAAACCGACCCTGAATCCGTTTATACGGGTTCAATGGGCATATTTTTGGCCGAACCCACGGGCTCAGAGATCCCACGTTAAACCGGCCTTGTACCACATGATGCCCTCGTGGGGGGGCACTAAATATCGTTGGTCAGTCAGTCGATGCCGGACGACCGTTAGTCGGATACTAAACTATCAGCGACCACCACTAAATTTCTCTGCGTCATTACCTATTATATAAAGTTCCTAACGTTTTGTACGTCGAACCTATTTTAGGACCGACTTAGTACAAATACAAGCCTCCACTGTGAAATCACTCCATAACAGATGGGGATCATAAAAATTTTACTAAATTATTTAATTTAATTTTCTAAAATGCTAGATGCAATCGCCAGGCCACCGACGATTGCATGTAGAATGAAACAGACTGTCGCCTCTAAGTGTTGACTTCTATGTTCACTTTTATATTTACACGCGCTCTATCTCTGATATTGAGCACTTTATCCCATAAATATAGCACATCTTAAGACTATATTGATTATATATATATATATATATATATATATATATATATATATATATATATATATATATACCCAAGTATAGGATTGGGGTATACGGAATAAATTCCAATAACCAACAAAACTATTCTTAAAAGAGTGCTCAATAAAGAGTGGAGCAAATATTATTTAATAGAAAATTATAACATAAATATGTTATAAAATCACTAAAAAAATAGCCATTATCAAGTGATGGTGTTTTATGTCCAGTATATGAGAATTCAAAAAACTTGACAATGAACTAAGGTTATAATAATTATTTAATGCTTTAATGTTGGACTTAGTCTAAAATGGAATTCATTCTAACTAATAAATATTAAATTATACTATAAAATTTTAAATTAAAAATTACTAATTTTAAATTTAACCTATACTAATTTTAAAATTATAAAATTATTTAAAGAAGAAACTGAGGATAAAAAATACATATGTTTTTTCTATTTATTTTGTTTTTATTGAAATTAAGTTGGAATAAACGTTAAGATCAATTGCTGCTCTGAACTTCATGACAACGTAGATACATTTGAAGCAGAAATATGAGCAAGGGAGGATGAAATCTTGAAAAAGACAATACATACACAATCAGATGATAATGCATAAACACGCTAGTTGTCAAGTTTTTTTGAATTCTCATACTTGTATTTTGATTGGTCATTCCAGCTTATGTAACAGCGTCTCCCCTACCGAGGGATGTTTGATTGATTTGAACCTTTATTCTACATTCAACACCATCACTTAATAAGACACCAGAAGTGTTGAAATATATATATATATATATATATATATATATATATATATATATATATATATATATATATATATACTAGTAATAACCTTATAAGTATAAGAAATTATACTCATTCGGAAAACCTTCGGTGTGTTGATTTGCAAATAAATAAGCCAATACCAAAGGGGGAAAAAAAGGTATAAAAAAGAAAGAACCAAGAACATGTACGTTAGCCGAAAAGAATCGTCTAGCATGCAAGTCCAAAGGCCAAAGAAAAAAAACCGATACGAGTAGGCAAAATAACAAAATAAAGTGCTCAATACGTTAAGCAGAGCAGACCTAGTTAAACCTTGGTAGGTTGGTCTGGCTCTTTAGGTTTAACTATATATATATATATATATATATATATATATATATATATATATATATATATGAATTAACAATATTCTTTCGGGAAATCAATTTCTGTCTTTACATTTTTACTTTAAAAAAGCAATTTAAGTGTAAAATACTTTTTTAAAAAAAACAATATGAAACCAAATAAATTAATTTAAATGAAGTAATTATTTTCTGATTTAAAGAAAAATAATTACTGGTGTTAATTTCATGAAATACATAGACAATATATTGAATTAATAAATGGTGGAATCTATAATTATTTTCTGTTTTTTTTTTAAAAAAAACATTTTTAGATAATTCCCTCCAACCAATATCATTCGGAAAAAGGGAGATCTTCAATTATATTCTTGAGAAATCTTCGTAATGGCATCAGATTGATTATCAAGACAAAGAATCAATATGTTATTGAAATTCAATTTCGCAATGAAAACCTAGATGAAGATATTTCTTCCGAACAACGCCGGGTATCCCCACTAGTATATATATATTTCTAACATCAGACATTGTAATTATTTACACTATTTACATTATCGGACTGTTCTTCTTCTTTTTGTTGTCATATTCCCGACTTTTCGGCCGTTGTATGCAACGGCCTTTTAAAGGTGGTTGTAATTTCAAACCGAACAATTTATTTCGTCCATTGGGGAAAATTATTCTAGTTCCACGTATAAATAGTATATATATATATATATATATATATATATATATATATATATATATATATATATATCAACATACACATACACACTCACACACACACACACACACACACATATATATATATATACACTTTGTGCAAATTAATTGAAACCAAAACGAATAATCCCATTATTATTTATTTCCTTTCATATTTTCCTAATGAAACATGACCCAGTGCACATGTTAGTCCTTCGTATGTCCATTCCACGAAGTCGTTCCTTGCAGATTGACTACAGATTGTCGATTGGATTTAATCATGAGATTCTCCTGTCCAATCTATAGTTTTTTTCATTTTTCGGTAAGGCTTGCAAGAGTGTCCGTCCAGCGTTACTATTTTGTACACCTTCTTAGATTAAAGGCCATCGCAGACAATGGCCGTAGGACAACTAATCGACAGTCGGGACAATAGTGTCTGGCCGTGATAAAAAAAAATCTAATGATATCACGATAACGAAATATTTTTCAAGGGCAAACAAATTTCATTATACACCCCCAAAATAGATTCATATTACTTCACACCGCTGCAAATGACCTATGAGGAGAAAAATTAGAAATCAATTAGATCCTGTCACTCCGTTGGGTCTAAAACCGACCGTATGGGCAAAGAAAGGAAACTAAATTAGTTATTTCAATTAATTTGCACAATATATGTATGTATGTGTGTGTGTTTATATATATATATATATATATATATATATATATATATATATATATATATATATATATATACAGACATACAGACATACATATATATACACATACCTACCCAATTTAAACAATTCGCCCTAGCTGTTACCATGGAAATTTTGATTTCAATTATTAAAACACGTAAATTTCAGAAATACGTTATTCAAAAAAAAAATTCGCTTGAAGATGGAACAGAGCTCACTTTAATTCAAATAATTATATTGAAGTTTTCGGCTCTTGTTTTGAAACATGAGACCTCTTATGTCGCCAGTTGGAATCATATTTTTAAATAAATAATTATATTTATTCTCTACTTTTGTATCGAGCACTATTTTTTAAAATAATAACTAAAATACTA